TACAATGAACTCGAACTCCAATTTAAGATGTTACATCTTTCTTCATATGCCATCTCTCGCCTCCTTTGACCCAGTGCAATACGCGATGCTCTTCTTTGAACAGCCTCAACCATTTTGATATCTTTCACTAAATGTGGATCCCACACGGGGCATGCATATTCTAATATTCTATCACAAACATCACAAACACCTGAGTACACAACACCAACAAAGAAAAAATCATATTACTAGATTACATTGGTATCGAAGGAACTTGATTCTGTTCCGAAATATCACTTACTCGAACCGTCCTGACCGCGTAGCTCAGTTGGCAGAGCATTGGGCTAGTATTCCAAAGGTCATAGGTTCGATTCCCACCGTGGCCGGGCATATTTTTCAAGCTCGCCCGGTGTGGATATACACTCAGAGTAACATCACAAACATCACATATAAATCATAAGTATTCTCTAGTCTATAGATATACTGAATCACTCCGCGTATTTTCAGTTCAAAAATGTTGTATTTCGGCTGATGAGAAAGATCGTGATTCAATCTTTACGACTAAACAGTAAACTGTCGCTGTCAACTCATCAACTTTCATCCTAGTTTGACACAAAGTTTTATAACTTCTGATTTCCAAATGTTGTCCACCTGTTAAAAATTTCGTTTCTGAATGCATCAACCGGAAAGCGAACTTGTACCTTTGTTACAATAAGTTATTCCATTGGCATTGATCATATGAAAACTGATTTGAATCCAGATAGAGCAGACTATTTCACATTATTGGCAATGGCTTGGTCCAGAACAGTGTGAAACATGAAAGCAGTTTTTATCATTAAAAGTACATATAATGTTTTTGTATTTTTTATCAACAAATGTTTACATTTTTTTTATAAGATCATGATCGCGGCAAATTTGAAAAATAACAGACGACGCAAGATCTACTGTGCCATTGTCTTGTTCGTGGGAGCCGTATCTCTATTCACCTGGCATCTTGCTGTAAATGACGGGCAGCAAAAATGGTTGATTACAGTGAAGGAATCCAACAATTCCCAGGACGCAAACTTGTCCAGCCTTTTGGAGAACTCAAAATCACTCCGCTATGGATTATACACCGACTTGAAAAAATCCCTAATCAAGATGAGAAATTTTACGATTTCGAGTAAAATCCTAGAAAAATCACAACCGACTCCTTTTCCTAGAAAAGTGCTAATCATTAGTCGTGGTAGATCTGGGTCATCATTCCTCGGTGATCTTTTTAACCAAAATAAAGGGGTATTTTATCTCTTCGAACCGTTGGGATGGTCTGTCTCTGACTTCAAAGGCTACGAGACGAAGACATTCAAAGTTCTCTATGACCTATATAATTGTAAATTTACGGACAAAATATACTTAGATTTTTTGTTAAAACAAAAAAGTTTCCGAAGGAAGAGCGGGAAACTCTCCACCTTCCCTGGGCAGTGCAGTCGGATTTCAAGAAGTTCTCAAAGATGCCTGTCAAATATCTTAAAATCTTCGTGCTTGGGTGCAAGGAGTGTGATGGCGAAGGTTTTGACACATAGACTTCCACAAGGCGGCCTTTGGGGAATCAGAAAAATTTTAGACGCGAATAAAAATCTTAGGATTGTTCATTTGCTCCGCGATCCGCGTCGCGTAATTGCTTCCATGAAAAAAGCCGGTTGGTTTAAAGGAAAGAACTTTACTACCCAAGTAAAATACGTTTGTTCCTCCATTTGGGAAAACGTAAAACACGTCCAGAATGAATCTGTTTATTATAAAGATCGTTACAAACTTTTGGTGTTCTCCGACATGATGCTGAGACCATTCTCGACTGTTGTGGAATTGTATGATTTTCTGAAAATGGGACCGGTTCCGGAATACATCTTTTCATGGATAATACAAAACACTATGGGTTCTGTACAATCTGTACAGACTGGGAAATATAAGTCTCGGGGAACATACAGAACGTCTAGAAATTCCACCGAAGTGCTGACTAGAAAAGTAGATTTCTCGAAATTTGAGGAGAAGATCATTGATAAATATTGTAGTGATGCTATTAAGTTTATAGATAAGGTTAGGAAAATAGCATGAATTAATTTTTTTAAATAATTGTGAAATTGATTATAATATCAAATCTGGAAAAAGTGGAAAATTGGACCGTTCATTTACAATACGTCATTAAGCCTGGTTCACATATGCCTGCGCTATCATTGTTTTTACAGCTGTTGATGCATACATTCTTTTGTGAATTATTTGGTTGAACTGCTAACGACAATAGCCCGCCGACATACCGCTGGTATATGTAGGTTTTATGCATCTGACAAAGTACTCTAGTGACTGTATTTATGTTACATGTCTCAAATGACAGATAAGGAAGTATGATATAAATCACATAATGATTCCTTATAAAGATTCTCCCATAAGTATGTGTGGAAAATTGAGAACGTTCTTCAATCTTCTTATTTTTAGGCCGTGGGCTGTTGTACGAAAAAGTGCCTATTCATAGTACCATAGATGCTTATGCTTAATTATACCACAAAAAATTCCCAAGCAAAAAACTTGCCAAACACCGAGAAAATGGATGATCAGTGATTATCCTCTATTAAATTGTATTACAGCAAGAAAATGTAAAATTTTGTATTCAATTACAACAAAAATGACTTGCATTATCAGAAAGCTTACAAAAACCTACATATAAGACATTTAAACAGTTTTTTTAGATCTAAAATTGTTTTCGAGTTATACGCTGTCAAAAACGCGTTTTTGACCTAGTACCCAGTCCTTATTGCGAGTTTTTGGTCCAATTTTCACATTTAAAACAGCAATAACTCAAAGACTATTTGAAAAAAGTCTTATATGCGGTTTTTTGTACGCATTCCGATGATGCAAGTCATTTTTATTGTAATTGAATACAGAATTTCCCATTTTTTTGCTGTAATACAATTTAATAGAGGATAATCATTGATCACCCATTTTCTCGGGATTGGGCAACTTTTTTGCTTGGGGACTTTTTTTGGTTGTGATGTACCTATATGCCTTTCAAATAAACCCCAATCCAAGTATTTCCCACATGGGTGCCACGAAGCGAAATAATTTTGGCCAACAGCCCACGGCCTATTTCCACTCAGTTGATGTAGTGACGTTACATCGAGCTTCTGAACCTAAGGGGTGGGGTGGTAGCCCCCCAAAAATCATGCAAAGAGTAGAATTTGAGACAGCATTTAGGGGAGGAAAACATTCCTGCAACTACTTGGAATATGCAGACATATAGAAAACAAATTTCTGCACCGTTTCCACAGCGCAAAGAAGTTCGACAAAGCCCCCCCCCACACACACACACTTTGGTCACAGCGCTCGCTCGAGGTAAAAGGCATTACCACTGTTGGCACCACATACATTTGCCCTCTGACATTTGCCTTTTATATAATGAATACTGATATGTGAGATTTTTCAAAACATTCAAGTCTGTATATTTAACACTCGGGCTTTGCCCACCGTTCTTGGTCCTACGAAGAACGACCCCCGGTATTCTGAATAGGAATTTAGATACCGACCGGAGAATCTGCCCAGTGCTGAATTTGCATTTTACTCAATTTCATGATTTTCATCATGAAGTTCAATATTTACATAAACAGGAACACAATTTTATGTATTCCGATGGGCGTCTTTTAATCTTTTGGTGTTCTAAGACTGTAGATAAACATCTAAAGATGGCAAGGACGTAAACCTGTCTTAAAATGGAGCTTTGTTCTGTTGGGAAACCTTCGTTTTTCGTTGTAATCTTGCTACTATGGTTTCAATTTTGTGCTGTTCACTCAAGGCCGACGACTAACGCAACGAGTCTTCCGCAGAGTACAACAAATGGAAGTCTCACGAGCACAGAATCGCCGCAATCAGGATCTGAAGGCAAAAGAATTAAAGTGGCGAAATTCGACTTCAAATATATAGCGACTCCGTTTATTGTATCTGTTTGGGTGTTGCTCGCTAGCTTACTAAAAGTTGGTACGTTCAAATATTTTTTTATATTTTAAATATGACATATTAATAAATTGCACTTCATATTCAAGATGTAATACATTATTGAAACGTAAGCTTTAGGGATTACATAACGTTTGAATGTTTATGTTTTTGGTATTAATACTTACCTGTTTTGTATAAATGTATGGCTTGTGTAGAAAATAATATTTGAAAATAACACGTACAGCATATTAAAATATTATATAACACTGCTCAGCATGAAATTTGAATAACATACTCTGGCTATCTGAGCCTATATCGTGCTATCCAGGACAAAATTAATATGAGCATTGACAAATGAGTTGGGCATATTGCAGTTATAAAATAAATTCTGTGAAAACTTTCTGTCCAAACTTGATATTGGCTGGTCTGTGTTTGGATAGGAAGTAGGTATCAAAACAATGGGATACTAATAATTTATTTGTCAATGATTGCCCTTCGATAAATAAAACCATCTGGCATTAGACAGAGTAAAGCAATCAAACGGCATGTGTCTAAAGGCACTGTAAATTAACCCATTGTTTGCCAGCACTGACCCCTTGACGAGTAAAATCATCTGGCATTAGACAGAGTAAAATATACAGGCCGCGTTCATCTGAAATGCAACTTAATGATTGACTAGAGACATGGGCTGATAGTCTGGTTAATGCATTGATCACCAGTGCTCTTCCCCTGACGAGTAAAATCATCTGTTGTTAGACATAGTAAACTAATAAAGTAATTGGCACGTTAGGTGACTTAATCACTGTTAACGAGGCATATGGTGAGATACACTAATTAACCCATGAAATAGTGCTTTGGTCTCCTGAATTTCATTCTCTTGCATTGATTTAATTTTTCACTTGATATAGTCTTTCATATGACAAAACGATTGTCCAAGGTTGTACCAGAATCATGGTTAGTTTATTATGAAGTTATTTGAATTTTTACATGTAAAATATGTGGCATACCAATTATAGGGTGCCCCAATTGGCCAAATCATGTCCATTGCCATGTTTGGTCACCCTTTCTCCATTCCAATTCCATGCTTACATTATCAGAACTGTATTAACTAGGCAGTTGCGATATTGAAAAAAATCGATATATCGATATCGAAAAAAAACATATCGATAATATCAACTATATTGAATTATGCAAATGAGAAAACGTAATTTAGTCAACTTGCATGTGTACGCATCACAAACAGTTAAAAAGAAGTGTGTGTTATTTTGGTACCTTGTTTTTAAACCTGCGTCAATACGCGCGTCATTAGCATTCAAATTATTGTGAATTCCATGTTTATGAGTCATCACAAAACTATTGTTTTCAAGCGTTCAATGCCTCTGCTTGGTGATCTTCTGTGGTCACAGTTTCTCTGTTTTCGCTTTTAATTTCAATTGCCTACACACTTGTATCATATGCCGCCATATGCACGTTGTCTAAACTTCACCGGTGAAAACAATAATTGCCGAATAATCGGAGATTAAGTTGTTTAGTTACAACTTTCGATATTTTCGATATGCGAAAAATCGAATATCGAAGATCGATATTTTTGAAATGTGTTATTTTCTGCTGGCTGAGGTACGAAAGAAGCAGAAAATGTTTTCTCACACAAGGCTGGGAGCCCGATTGTGAATCGGGTGTGTTCGGGTGGTGCAGGTTAAGACAGCACATGTTGTTGCTTCCGCAACGCTTGACGTAAATCCCCACCCGCCCGCCCATTAATTATAGTCATTTAGCTTGTTAGATGCAGTGGACGTTTATATAACGAATTACTGAATTAGTAATTATAACTCCTCGGTAATTTTTATGTAAATAACGTAATTATGTTGCAGAGCTATGTATGATTAGCTGTGTTAGCTGTTATTGTGTAAATAAAAGTCAAGCTTGTGGTGGACGGCTGCACAGCTCCCAGCAGTGTGTGAGAAATTGATATTTATTGAAAATATCGATATATCGCAACTGCCTAGTATTAACTAGGCATATGTGAGTTATCTTTTAGGCATACTGTATGTTACTCGTGCATTCTCTGATTAGATTTTATGTTGTGGGTTTAGGAGTGATCCAACTGCCTGAAAAATACAAGTTAAACTTTGATGTTTCAAGCTATTAGGCCTGACAAAGGGTCTTTCCTCGAAACATCAAAGTTTAATCATGGATAATAAAATAAATGGATAGGAAACTGCTGACGTGACCCATACCTGTAGATTTTATTTTTGTGGAGGTAGCCAATCTTTAAATGGAGCTAGGCTATGCCACATTCTCGTACCCAGAGCCTGCCTTACACACGATCAACAGAGCATGACAAGGACGCGGTGTACGAGAATGGGTTTGCCTCAACAGTCAACTGCAGATCAAAATTTAGCCTCTGAACGAGAACAAAATGCCAAGTGTGTCAATGTCATGTTTATGCGCATATTCTGGGTATTTCAGTCTTATTTAATACAGTGGAATATAGAAGTACATTCTGAGAGTTCTCGCAGTTATTCCAGTTAGTCAGTAACTCCTGGCTTAGATAACAAGCTCCAAATGATTTTTGGAGTTGGCAACACAGCAAGTAACTTCAACCTTACATGTATGTACTGTACCTAGCGGCTATATAGGCTGACTCGCCTTGCTATACACATATTTTTGGAGTTAGGCAGTAACTCGAGGCTTAGGTACCTTGTTTTTTCATGATTTTTGGAGTTATACGTAGCTCCAAATGATTATTGGAGTTAGCCGGTAACTCCAGGCTTAGATGCCTACCTCCTAAATTATTTTTGCAGTTGTATACTTATATAGCTCCAAATCATTTTTGGAGTTAGCCAGTAACTCCAGAATTCATATTTCAACTCTTGAATTACACAAGTCACTCAAGTGTATATTTTGGTTTGGAGTTAGCCCTTTAGAGCTTGGAGGTAGCGTCGCTCCATAACTTCCTACTTTCTACAATGGCGTGGTTGGATGTTGAAACTAGTTACATACATACATACATACATCGCCTTTATTTAAAACACGGTAAACCTTCAGTAAATATAGTCAAAATTATTCTAAGCTTAAAAATATTTGGATTCACATAGTATATATAAAAATATAACAAATATGGGGCTACTGTTCTACCAGGTTGCCCCCTCCAGACTGAAGCAAACTTTTTGTGCCCCCCCCTCATAAAGTAGAAACTTTTCTGACCCCCCCAGTGTGGATTGAAAAATTAACAGCAATGAAACAGGTGTGTGTTGCAGGTAAAGTTAGATATTAGGACAATCTGTTTAATCTAGCCCATGATGTTTTACCCTGGTGAATATGATTCAACCATATGCGATTTAAAATATATATTATGTGTTTACTACTTTGCAATGCAACATTTGTCCTCATACCATAATCCTAACCCATGGACTGTTAGTCTCCTATGCAGACCTACTTTAGCAGGTTTGGGCCCGCCGCTAATTAAGTAGGTATGCGTAGGAGACTAATGGCCTGTCTTCATACAGAAATGATTTGAACACAGGGTTTTTTACGCCTTGTCTGGGGGGTGGGCATCTACAAAAAAGGACCATACTATACTGAGTGTGAAGAGATGACAGATGGTTGTTGGTGACCAAAAGTTTGGTGTGGTATCATGTACAAGTAGGGGGGTCTGGGGGTATTCTCCCCCAGAAACTTTTTTTGTATTTTTCCACCCATAGGACTGAAATGTGAGCATTTTCTGAAACAGATTTTTGGATATACAGAGTTACATTCTGCTTTGATAGACCGAATCTAATCAGTTAAGTACTTCTTGCATGGTATGTTTATGTAAACACCACAACTGGATCACTCAGGGGGTAGGAAGCTTGTTAATTAAACTTAGTGGGCCCGGCTCCCACGAGGCGCTACCATAATTGGCGTCGAGCAGGGAAATGTTGAAAATTTCGAGTCTTTAGATTGTTGGAAATGGTATATTCAGAGTCTTCTTTACCTCTTTGGCATTATTATTTGTGAGTCTATGCTATTTGTGAGTCTATGCTATTTGTGAGTCTATGCTATTTATAGAAATCAGAACTCTAGACATGGTATTTAAGTTCAAAAACTTTTTCTCCAACTTCATTCAGATCACAATGTCTGCACGCTCTATCACAGTATTCAGTAAGGAATATTTTTATATCTGCCAGTTTCAACTGGTAATCTTTGCGCAGAAATTCTTAATTTTGTAACAGCTTGGCGGTGTTTAACATTTTGGATTTCAGATATTTTTCCATTTCAAAATTCATTTTAATTTTTCTGAAGTCTTTTAGTTTCTTTTCTTTCAGTTGTTTTTTATAATAATGCTTAGACTCTTCATTAAGTGTATTCATTAAGTGTCATGAGGGACTGTGAAGTACCTGACATATCCAACATCATTTTTACACACTTTCAGTAAATATATATAATCCGTAAACATTGCTGGTTGAAGATTCATATCCATACGCACTTCGTCAGCCAGAGTTTTTATCGAAACTTGCATCCTTAATGTGTAGCCAGTATTTAACGATATGCCAAGAAATTTGTGCAATTAAGGTATCCTTCCTAATTCAGCATAAATTGCTATATTTGTGGTTTTTGAGTGAACTCTAAAAATACGTTTACAAAATTTTAAATGAAATCTTTCTATTTAATAAAATGGGAATATTGTAGTCGAGAAAAGTTTTAAAAGCAATTTGATTGGCAAATTTTCAAAATTTGAAAATTTTTTGTATAAAAAATTGTAAGCTCGTATCAGCAGTATCACCCAGGGCGCAGTAAAACACGGGCGGCGAAACGCGCTGATATTTGCGTGATCCATGTGTGATGCGGCGGAAGACTGGCGCGAGCGAGCGTTTCGCGAAAAATGCAAGAAGAAAAGCAAAATCATGGCGACAAAAAGAAATTTTTGCAACTCGGAAAGACCTGACAATATTCCAGGTAAGACATCGTTAAATATTTGTTTTTGCTCCACAATTTTGAGAAAATATATTTCTTTTACAATACCACATCATTTAATTGAGTAAATACCTCTCTGTCTTCCAAAAAACGACTCGACTCTCAAAAAATCTGAATGCAAATTATATCAAAATTCACGATTTAATGCAGCGCGACAGGATTTAAAATGAATGCTGTATGCTCCCTAGGTAGTCCAAGGTGAATTTGACATTGCAAAATGCTGCCAAAATGCATCAGCTATGCAATGCACATAATGCGAAGACTGGCTTTTTTTGACTTTTTTTGCAAAGCAAGGATTTTCCCAGTAACATAGTTTTCTTATTAGTGCCGACAGGGCGGAAACATACACTTTTCATAATTAAAACAAGAACAAATTAAAATTGCCGCTCATTTTTCTTGACAAATTAGATTCTTAAATTAAAAAACCTTCAAGTGACCTTAATTGTTTTAAGAATCTTTAAGGTTTTAAGCATATTAAAGCTCATTTCTAATACAGACTTAGCAAAAACAAAATTATTTCACTCGCAAACCTAAATCATCACAAGCCAATTTTTGTACACCATAACGAAGCGCAAAAAATCTATTTTATAATAATTTCTATATTTTTAACCCAACCCTAGGTGTGAAACTTGCCCTAAAAATTTGTATACAACAAGGCCAAGTTATATAGTTTCCAAATTTCATTACTAGAAAACCGGCTTTTTTGTTTAAACACAGTTTTACAAGCTTGTTTCAGCAGTGTCACGTCCAAAAACAAGAAGTCGGCAAAGGGAATGTACTTCCATGTTGACCAAAATTTTATCGTAAAAGAAACCGCGCAAAATGTCTGTACTTTTTTTCCTAGGTGTGAAACTTGCCCTTAAAATTTGTATACAACAAGGCCAAGTTATATAGTTTCCAAATTTCATTACTAGAAAACCGGCTTTTTTGTTTAAACACAGTTTTTCAAGCTTGTTTCGGCAGTGTCACGTCCAAAAAAAAGACGCGGGCAAAGGGAATGTACTTCCATGTTGACCAAAATTTTATCGTAAAACAAACCGCGCAAATGTCTGTATTTTTTTCCTAGGTGTGAAACTTGCCTAAAATTTGTACACAACAAGGCCAAGTTATATAGTTTCCAAATTTCATTACTAGAAAACGGCTTTTTTGTTTAAACACAGTTTTCAAGCTTGTTTCGGCAGTGTCAGTCCAAAAACAAGAAGTCGGCAAAGGGAATGTACTTCCATGTTGACCAAAATTTTATCGTAAAACAAACCGCGCAAAATGTCTGTACTTTTTTTCCTAGGTGTGAAACTTGCCCTTAAAATTTGTATACAACAAGGCCAAGTTATATAGTTTCCAAATTTCACTACTAGAAAACCGGCTTTTTTGTTTAAACACAGTTTTTCAAGCTTGTTTCGGCAGTGTCACGTCCAAAAACAAGAAGCCGACAAAGGGAATGTACTTCCATGTTGACCAAAATTTTATCGTAAAACAAACCGCGCAAAATGTCTGTACTTTTTTTCCTAGGTGTGAAACTTGCCCTTAAAATTTGTATACAACAAGGCCAAGTTATATAGTTTCCAAATTTCATTATTAGAAAACCGGCTTTTTTGTTTAAACACAGTTTTTCAAGCTTGTTTCGGTAGTGTCACGTCCAAAAACAAGAAGCCGACAAAGGGAATGTACTTCCATGTTGACCAAAATTTTATCGTAAAACAAACAGCGCAAAATGTCTGTACTTTTTTTCCTAGGTGTGAAACTTGCCCTTAAAATTTGTATACAACAAGGCCAAGTTATATAGTTTCCAAATTTCACTACTAGAAAACCGGCTTTTTTGTTTAAACACAGTTTTTCAAGCTTGTTTCGGCAGTGTCACGTCCAAAAAAAAGAAGCGGGCAAAGGGAAAGTAGCCATTTCATGAATGCAATGCACTTACCTTTTTTGACATCATTTAATTTTCGCCCTTCTTTTCTTCAAAGGCCACCACGTATTTCTGCAGGACTTTAGTTTTTAAAATTTGCCAAAAGTATAGATCGGACGAGCACATGACAACTTTCCAAACGGGTATTATAATAAATTGTTTTTCGATTCGAACATCCCAGTTTATGAATATATTAGACATATTCGTTTTCAAAATTTGACGACAGGTACATTTCAAAATACACACACTAGCTCCATAAGTCGATATCCTCAAATAAGTTCATCGACTGTACATATGTGTAGATAAAATAATTTGCAGCGAATAATAAAAAATGAAACCACTGTGAAATCCATTTTACTTCGTCTTCGCCTGTTCGCTAGCTGTTCGCGAAGCATCGAACACGTGAATGACTTGAATTGACTCTCATTGACTGCAATATGTAACTGGACTATTATAATAGACATGAGCACAGCATTTTCATAACGCAAATTATGTATATTATTTAAATAAAATATTAGCCTGTGAAATATTATTTTTTATGTTCTTTATGTATACAGGCAGAACTGATGATCCAGTCTTGAGTTCATGTCCTCCGAAACGATCACGTTTAACGTCATTGAATACACCTTATAGTACTTGTGTCACAATGAATTGTCCAATGTCAGTCGCTGAGCAGTCAAGTGAAATTAAGATCGGAAGATTGTTTGGTGATTCCCGACAAAATAATGAATGTGTTGAAAGAACGTATAATTCAACAGAGTTTTTAGAAAAATATTTCATGTCAGGTTCGCTATTATCTCCCGTAGAGCTTCTTGTATATTCGCTAATGAAAATTCAATTTAAAACATCGACATTCACCAAGCATCATTCCATATCGCAGTATCAAGGTATTACTGATGTCGTCTCAAGAATATGCGGTGTTCAGTTTGAACCGAATGCCCTTCGACGATTATTTCCAAGAATTTCACACAATCAATTGAAGTCAACAGTAGGTAAAGAAAATGGGAAGGTGAGGTGGAGCTATTTCAGCAAACAAGTGGATGAATTAATCCGCATTTCTGGTGAAGAAATAGAAAGAATAATCCATACAGATGGAGCATTGCAAGAAGATCAAATCGTCCAGATAAATGATCAGTTAAAACGAATTTGTTGTACGTCGAAAGAAAGTTCAGAGAAGTTAACTCCCGAAAACTTTTTCTACCAATTTAATAATAACATCAAAACACGTTTGTCAGGTTCGTCGAAATGGATACCATGGTACAATGCACCAGAGAGAGAAATCTGCTTGTTTAGTTTTGGTTCATCGCCTGGCTACGCGGAAAAAGAGTTGCGACTGTCGAGGACGTTCGAATGGAAACTTTTTTTAAAAGCGATCGAAAGAGACTTATCTAACTGCGACAAAATACGCGACTTTCCAAGAAGTATAGGAACAGTGGAACTTTTAGTGGAGTTGCTCAACATTCTAGATAATTGCAAGATATGTGATGGATGTGGGGAAGCAGAGAAGTATAATGCGTTACGTGAGGATTCTGGTGAAAACTTGTTTAGACGAAAAGATGGGAAAAACGCTGTTTTGATAGAAAACGATAAGGCGAGATCGACAAGTTGTCATCTCTTGGTACCGCAGAGCGTAACGAATTGCCCGATGTGTGTAAAGTGTCGTCATTATTTTAGAACTTTAATGTCGAGGAGAAAATCAGAAAAAAACGCAAAGCAACCAGAAAAAGCAAGATTGGACTATAAATCCAAACCTGAATTGTTAGATATAGCTAGACAATCAGCTACAGTTATTAAACAACTTACAACGAAGAATAAGAGATTGGAATTGGCAGTTGAGAATATGGTTGAATTAGGACCCAATTCTAACGACGATTTGCAGGGAATTTTCAACAACTTATACATCGGCTTACAGAACAACAGAGACAAACATAAGAACCCTATTTGCCTTTGGGAAGCCTGCTTACAAACGGACAAATTTGAAGAAGTAGAGGACTTGTACCGGCATTGCAAGTCTCATATAGAACACATGGATACTGCTGAGATCGCTCCAGTGGATAGGCAATACCTTTGCAAGTGGAGAGGATGTTCAAAATCGTACAGAAAACGTAGGCTTTTGGAAAACCATTTACGTGATCACACAGGTAGCATGAATGATAGTTTTTTGGAGACATTGCTGTCCGATCAAGCAAAAGCAGTAACAACCGAATCTCGGCAAATGAGATGGCATCCTGCCGTAATAAGATGGTGTCTACGAATTTACCTTAAATCCCATTCCTTGTACGAAGATATGCGCAACTCAGGTGGTTTGAAGTTACCAAGTGGAAGGACATTGTCCGATTACAACAACTTCTGTGCACCAGAAACTGGTTGGAAGAAAGATAACCTCCAAGTAATGAAAGATCGATTTGAAAAGAAGAGACCTCCGAAGCGAGCAAATCTGGGGGGGTTATTTTTTGACGAGATGAAAATTAAGGAAGGATTGGTGTTTGACACGAAGAATTGGGAATTGGTGGGTTTCACAGATATATCTGTAGATGTTGCTGGTACGGAAACAAGAAAGATCAACGCGTTGGACAAGCTGGCGACGCATGTGTTACAGTTCTTTTTTCGCAGTACTTTCTTTAATTTTGACTACCCATGTGCATTTTTTCTCACCAAGAACACAACTGCGTTTGAAATTAATCGTTTATTTTGGCTGGGAGTTAGTATGTTACACACGTATGGTTTCGAAGTTATTCTCAGCTGTTGCGATGGTGCCTCGTCAAACCGGTCATTTGTTGAAATTAATACTGGAGACAGCCAAAAATGTACTTGTTTCAATCCGTTTTCTGGCAAACCAATTTTCTTCTTCTCTGACCCTCCGCACTTAATAAAGAAACTACGAAATAACCTCTATAGCAGTGGGCATAAAGACGAACACCCTCGATACACAAGGTCTCTCCTATTCAATGACAATTACATCCTATGGAACCATGTTTATGCAGTATACCAGAGAGAAAGCAGAAGACATCTATACGTCACCGACCTCAGGAAAGCACATGTTACGATCGACAGTATTAGCAAAATGCGTGTTAAACTGGCTGTCCACACCCTGTCGGAGAAAGTAGCTGCGGAGATGGAAGAATGTGACGGAGAAGCAACAGTGGAAACGAGAAAATACATCAAGGCTTGTGCGAAATTTTGGAACATTTTCAACGACCCAGCGCCAATGAAAACATCAAGCGATAGAAGAATGACGGAGCTCAAGAACGTCCTGGATTATTTCACCACATGGCAGGAATGGTTGGCACAGAAGTACGAGACGAAAAAAGAGCAATCAGAACACTTCATTTCATGGCAGTCGATGTCCGATCTGAAAGTAAGAGTTCACAGTCATAATTTTGTTACTATTCACTAACAAAGTAATTTACCTGCAGCCTTTGTTTCATACTTTGCAGTCGTTTTTACATATTTTACCTGTTCTCTTTAGCCAATGCGTCTTGTCATTATCATAACATATCTGTTATTCAAATTATATAGTGTACCGTCACTGCGTTGAAAGAGTTACTGGACTTTATCTGCTCATGGGAATTTAAAGAGAAATATGGGGATGATTTGTATATCAACGTCAAAAGAATAAGCCAAGACCATGTCGAAAGCTATTTTTCAGCACAGAGGCAAATGTGTGGGGGTACTCAAAACATGACCGGATATAGCTATGGATATAATGTCAACTGCTTGTCCAATATAAGTTCATCGAAGATATTAATGAAAAAGCAAACAAACGTCTACAACATAGCAGAGGCACTTCCCGTTCTAAACAACAGCGAACAACTACCTAAACGTCGTAGCAAAGACAATGAGGGTATTTGGGATTCAATTCCATGGTTTATTGAAGTCGAATAAACTGCTTACGATTAGTTGCACGTGTATATTCTATAATGTCGGTAAATTTATTGAGTTTTTTTATTTCCGAAAACGGAGTTAAATAAACGATGTTTCAGTCTAACTCGAAGTAATTCAACTTCAAAGTTCGAGTTGATTGATTTATTAAGTTTTAAAAGTAAGGGGGAGATTACATGGACGTGCTAGCCCGGTTAGCCTGGCTGGGGGCTATCCCGCTTACTATATAAATTGTATATATTTTCAACTTTACGATTACCGCATCCCGACTATCGCAACCGGGCTAGCCTGGCTATCACTCGCCATGTATCACTCGCCTGTTTTTTACATATATAGGTAAGGATGTACCGGACTCTGCTTTATTTGAAGAGTGATAACGGATCCGATACATTCCTACACCTGTGGGAGGAAACCGGAGTACCCAGAGGAAAACTACGGCTTTGACTTTCGCTGGAGAGTTGACGAATCCGTCGAGTATTTGCAATCATACTCCATACTAGAGAACTATAATGGCTTTTCTAATAAAAATAAATTATAAAAATTCATATAAATATCAATAAAAAATCATGACATTGTTCGGCATATTTAATATTAAAATCATTTATTCATTCACAATGACCATTAGGGGGTGTTACCAGGGCAGTAAAACAGTAATTACTGCACCCTGGTGTTAAATATAGTGTTCCACACAGTAAAAACAAAATAATTACAACAATAGTGAAACCTACCTACTATTCAGTTTCACACTACTATAAACTAACTATTTACAAAGATATTAATTGTGAAGATTTTTAACAGAGGAAATGACAGTTATTCACACCAAGCACACGGTTATTAAATAACAGTGACTTAAAGGAATTCGCACTCGTGTTAACGACATTTTTAGTTAATTAAATAGCTAATATTAATAGAGGGTTTGGTACCTACATGAACCGCCGTGTGCCTATATGGAAAAATGTTTTTTAAATGTTGTAACTATTTGGTTTTGCCGAAGAAAGTTGACTTAAGTTAAATTGGTACAGACAAATGAGTTTCCTATTCGATATTTGTTTCATATCTGTACGATAAAATCGGAAATCAAAACACTCAAAAAAACTCATCTAATTTAATTTATTCCATATTATATAAGATCAGCATGATATAACTCTAACTTAGAAAGTAAAATATCATGATTAACCGTGTTACATGATGCCTTTCTAGATTTTGAAACAAAGCCATGTACCCCGTTAATTAGACAATCAACAATATTGTAAAGACATTCGTTATAAACTTTGTATGCATGTTGTCTTACTGTAACTAACTTAATATATATATATATATATATATATATATATAATAGTTTTTCTCACACTGAGAACAGTATCGATGTTGCAAATTTTTGTTTGAGATATAAACATCTTTTCAGGTTAATTGTTATCAAAACATTCAAGATATCAAGTGTTTAATGAAGATGATAAATCTTCAAACAGGTATCACAGCTGTACAATTTTCAATACTGCACTCGGCTTCGCCTCGTTCAGTATTGAAAATTTCTCGTTCATTGTACAGTCAGCTCGTGCATGTATTTGTAAACAAAACACTCGCATCAGTCTCTAACCCTTAAATAACTCATGTTTAGAAATCCATAACTCGTAAGTTAACAGCTATATTTTCACATAATTGTTATATTTTCACATGTGAAAATATACATCTCGTTTCAGATGAATACAATTATCAATTGTAATTAAATTTGTCTGAATTAAACTCAATGAAGTAATCCCTATGTAATTATATATCTTACCGGCCTGCCTGCTTTTTTTTCAAATATGAAAACTTGTAGGAGAAGACAAGACCATGAAATGTCTTATGACTTAAGTTGATGTTGTGACCATCCGAATCCAGTGTAAACTGGGAATAGACTGTCAAAAAAATAACCGAATACATGCATATAACATACAGATTACAGTATCATAATTCATCAATTTCATAATTGGACAAGTACTGGTGTAAGACATTGTGTAGCCTAAATAATGAGGACCAGTGTTCAAAATGGTTATCCTTTATTTATTTACTCTGACTCGTATGATGAACATGTACACAAAAAACAAGGGAAACTACGATTAGATAGAAACTGAAATACGTGAAATTTTTATGTGATACAATAAAAGGCGAGGATATAATAGCGAGTGATTGAATTTGAATAGGAAAGGCAACCCCTGTACGCATTTCGACCTAACAGTCTTCTTCAGCAGGGTTTTTTTAAAGGGGGTGTAGATAGAGTTTGCAGAGTCGAACTAGAATGCAGGAGAGTTTAGGACGGAACATATGTGAAACAAGAGAAAAACAAAATATTACACAGTACAAAAATGAAGGTTGAAAGAAGGTGAAAAAGGATGAAATTACTGAATATGTTATTAGTAAAATTATCCTACCAAAGGTCTTGTTGTTGCGGGACATTCCAACACTACGTACTTTATTGTTCATCTTTTAATTTATATTTTGTAGTGCAAAGCAATTTGCTAGTCCTTTAAGGTAAAACTTACTCAATGGTATAGTGAGTTTGAATGCTTATGATGGAAGGGGTGGAGTGGGATTTACAAACATTCCAACTGTCCCGGTTTCACCGGGACAGTCCCGGTTTAGACTCTTTTGTCCCGGTGTCCCGGTAGAAATAAAATTGTGCCGGTTTTCAGGTCAAGCTTTATAAAAATAATTGACAGTTTCTCTTTTTACATATTTTTGGTGAATTCACATTTTTAGCTTGTCTCATTATTCGCATTGCAATCTGTAGCATCGTAATCACTTGTTGTTGCCGCCTTCGCGTAAATTGTATAGAAATTGCGTAAATGTAATTAGATATCATAGGAATGCAAGGGTCAATTAGGGCTCGCTTGCGTTAATTCGCTCAAGATTTTCTAGAAGATTACGCGGGCTCGTCGAGCGAATTTGGCGCCAAGTTCGAATATTGGAAGGTAAGTGAATCCTCAATTTATATATTTAATATTCATGTTAAAATGCGTATTAGCATGTGCACATGTTTGATATCTTACTGTATCCTTGGTGTATATCTTTTTTGTAAACGATGGTCGCCTATTTCCACTACTAAACCAAATTCGACACTATTATGATCTAATCCATGACACAAATAAATTATAATAGAAAGAATCTCATTTATATTAGCATTCACTATGCTACTCTTTAAAATTCTGAATTCATTATTCGAGAGTAAATAAAGTTGATGTATGTAATTGTATCATTTGTATGTATGTAATGTTTGTATGTATCTTGTATCGACCACAATCACGAGCCTAATACTATAGTGCCACATACGCGATTGTATATTGCGCAAAATATGCTAGTCTTTGGAACACTATCTAACTTTATATTTAACTTTATTCTTCATAAACCTTTTAGGAAATACACTCAAACATATTTAATCTTTACACCGCTTGTATATTTTTAGCTTAATATCACTTCTAGCCTAATTGTATTAACACTTCTTAATTATCTTGACACTAATCTTGATTGCTTTTCCGCCTCGCCTTTACTAGCCAAGGCCAGTTTTCCACCAGGCAGAATTTTGCGCGCGGAGCGGAATTTTTCTTTGTCTTGTGATTTCTCAGGTGGAACTAATTAGAAAAGATAAAGAAAAATTCCGCTCCGCGCGCAAAATTCCACCTAGTGGAAAACGGCCTGGAGACAGTCTTCGCTTGGCGCTCTCACATGTTATATTAATATAATGACGACTATTTATTGTAATGACGACTTTTAATTGTTTAGTTTATAAGATTATATATATGTGTGAACATTTATTAGTGTTTGACTATTTTCTCGCGAACTCGCAAACTTGTCAAGCAACAATCAATACTCGTGTTAAAACACAAATGCATCAAACAACATATTTTAATTAAAAAAGCTTTAATGAGATATATATTATCTTCTTTATAGGTACTGCTAATGGAACAACCAACAAAGAAACAAAAACGGCTTACAAAATATTCTCTTGAGTATCAAAAGGAATATCCATTCATTAAAGCATGCTCTTCTTCTTTAAAAGAGCATTTATATAAGTTTCATTGTTCTTCATGCAATGTCAATATTTCATGTGCACATGGGGGAATTAGTGACATTAGGGAGCATATTGCTACAAGCAACCACAAAACTGCTCATCGCAATTGTCAAAGTAAGTTTAATCCGCATGGTCATGTTGTTCTTGAAGTAATTAGTAATATATACCACCAGCAACTACTAGGTTCATTGGGCGATTCCAAAGACGTACAAACCTTATCCCTGAGGAATTTAATTTCACTCAAAATACACAACCACTGAAGAATTTTCAGTAGATCATATGCATGCCCAAATAAGTACATAAAAAGAAAATCATGAACACGTGTATACAATCATCTTTATGTGTATTTTGCAAACAAACAAATTAAGGGTAGGATAACCCAAAACTAATGACAATATAATCTTTTTTTATTTAATGATTACTATATTCAAGTAGTTTCATTGTATATTAAATCTGCAATGAATAAAGTTTACATTATTAGTATTACTGGTATTGTTATTTTTTATTCCAAAACATTAAACTTGGTTAAATTAAAGTACTGAAGATTGGTTATCATATTACCCAGGAAACCTCCAAGTTGACCAACTATTTCAAAAACAACCGAAGAGTGATATTGACCCAACAATTGCTGCTGAGACAAAAATGGTGATGTTACTCATTCAACATAACACATTCTTTAATATCTCTGATCACCTTTGTCCACTAATCAGGAATGAATTCAAGGGAAGCCAAGTCGCTCAATCATTTAGCTGCAGCAGAACAAAAACTGCAGCCATTGTTAACTGCCTGGGAGATCATTTTTTTGAAGAGCTGAAGTCCAACATGCAAGAAATGCCCTATAGCCTTATGTTGGATGGCAGTAATGCCAATGGCATTCAAAAGATGTTTCCCATAACGGTACGAATTTTTGACGTAAACTTCAGTAGAATTATGACGAAATTTCTAGACATGAATTTGCTTGAGGGACGAGATGCCTCCACAGCTGACGTGATGTTCGAAAGTGTCGACAATTTTCTGTCTGAAAACGATATTCGATGGGACCATTGCATGGCAATCGGCCTAGACAACACTAACGTTAATATAGGTGATCATAATTCGATCAAGTCACGCGCTAAAGAGAAAAATGAGGACATTGTCATCGCTGGCTGCCTCTGCCACATCCTTCATAATGCATCTGGTAAAGCTGCAACGACGTTCTCGGAAGTTACTGGCTTTGACGTCGAAGATCATTGTGTTGATGTTTTCTACTGGTTTGACAAATCGGGCAAGCGAAAAAGCATTCTAGAGGAATATTACGAATTCTGTGATACCGAGTATGAAGGAGTTATAAAGTTTATTTCAACGCGTTGGTTGTGTTTGGAGCTTTGCATCAATCGAGAGCTAAAAAGTACAAAGGCTTGAAATCGTACTTCCTGTCTGAAAATTTTCCAGATGCACGTTTTAAACGACTCCGCCGCAGCTACACGAATCCGATTACTGAAATTTACCTACTCTTTTATCAAGCCTCGCTTCCATGTTTTACCAACTTCAACAAGTTTCTTCAGCGAGAAGATCCAGTTATTTATCAGCTATACGATTTACAGCAGCATTTTATGCACAAACTAGCATCCAAATTCATCAAACCAGAAATCATCCAGAAACAGAAATTGGAAAACAAATCATTTGCGGATCTGGACGTCTCTCTTGAAAACCAGAAAGATGATATGAGTTTGGGAATTGGTCCACTTACACGGCACACACTTAAACGCCTGTTGGAAGAAGGGGAAATTGATCAAACCGAAGTCGATCAGTTCTTTGATGCCGTACGAGCCTTCTTTGTTAAAGCCTACGAATACTGTGTTCAGTGGCTTCCACTTGACGATCTGTTTATGAAGCATTGTATATTTGTCGATTTCAAAAGGCGAACTGAAGTTTCCTTTGCCCACATTGAACAGACAATCACACACTTTAAACGAATCCACGAAACGTTAATGTCAGATCCGTCAATACTAAATGCAGTTGAAGACGAATTCATCGACTACCAGGCAATGAATGAGAATGATATACCCCAAACGATTTGGGAAGCAGCAGTTGTAGGAGATATCCGAGATAATCAGCATTGCATGGATATCATCTGGGGCTATCTAAAACCTAAATTACAGAGATTGCTTTGTCAGTTCTTGTCATTCCTCACAGCAACGCTGGTGAAGAGAGGGTGTTCTCCACTATTCGAAAGAACAAAACTGACTTTCGCTCGTGGCTTCAGTTGG